CCCCAAAACCCCAAAACCCCAAAACCCCAAAACCCCATATGAAGGCATAAAATTAAAAATGGACGCTCAGAGGAGTAAGTTGATCGATTTTAAGGGATTTTGTTGGGAGATTACAAACATTTTAGTCGATTTAAGGCAGCCTACTCCGAAATATATGAGGTCTACGCAGCTCGAGCTCAGTCAGGTAAATTTTGTTTGCTTTGAAAGTGTCTTCATTAAAATTAGAGAGCAATTCTTCTCATCATTTGTTTTGTCATTTTAAACTTTAAAGGTAATTTCTAAGAAAGCAGATTCATCGTTATTTATCCCAGATCATTTTGAACCTGATTCAGTAATGTAGTTCTTTAATAAAATAGAGGTTATTAAGACTAAAACCTCAGAGGAAAAGGTTCTTCAGGTATATTCTTGCTTACTTTTAGGTATGACACGAATGATACGAGACTGAAATCTACCAAAAATTCTCCATCTGCAAGTAAGCTATGGGCATGAGCTTCAGCACGGAGTTATTTCAGCAAAAATACAGATAAATAAGCAATATCTAAGGACTAAGCGAAAGATCAATGGAGATAGCAGGAAGAACACTGGGTTTAATAAGAACAAGAGAACATTGTATGGCTAGTTTTTGGGGTATTAATGGAAACTAAATTAATTTCATTGGTGATACAAGCTCTTTATAACTAACAAAGGCAGCTTATATCGAGTCTTATAGTTCTGGATATATAGTAAAGTGCCTCCTTGTTGTCTGTGGTGACCATGTACATAGATCTTTCTGCTATGTTTCTATAAAGACCAAGCATGTGTCTGTAAATGCTTAGATTAAGCCCAATACTTTAGAGGAATTTGTGAAAGAGATTTGAGAGCAATTTCTCATTCATCTATGTTTAGACTTTTATTCAAGATACTCAGTAACTCTAATTTTTTCAAGTCTTAAAGAATCTATATAGGAGACGAAGAGTTCTTGAGAGGAGAATAAAAGCAGCGTTAAGTAAGAGAGTTTAGAGACAATTTGAAGCATTTTTGAACAATTTTAGGGCTTTTAAACTAGATTTTAGACCAAGAAGTTGCTGTTCAGAGTGGGGAAATGAAGGTTGATGATATCAAGCCAGAAAAATCTGTATTTTTAGTCCCGAATATACTTATAGATACAAGAAAAATGAGGCGGTGAAGAATCAGTTCAGTCTATTAATGAACAGTGTCCTAATATTCAAGTGATAGAAAAGTTAAAATAAGGTAAATTGTCATCAAGCCTTCAGAAATCTTGTAAGAAAAAGCAACAACTGAAAAGCGTGGCCGAATTCAGCATCAACCTTGGACTAAATAATGATATTAGCTTGGATAGCTCTCCTGTCTCTTTTATCAATTTTAGTAAGAACACAGGAAGGCAGAATCAACCAGTTTCCCAAAGCAGAGGGACATCTCCGATGAATTCTTCTCCGTTTCTACTGGATAATTCAATGGAAATGTATAACAAAGCATCATTTGGGAGTAATCCACGATTTATTACTACCAAGCTTAATGTAATTACCTGTGATTCTTTGCCTAAAATCCCTGTGAAAAAGACAATCAGGCCCCCAAAAGTGCAGATCAGGACAAACCGGCTGAGAAAATTATATAGATTAATTGAAGGTAACTGATTCCGTTACTTTGTAGAAAAAACTAATCGAGCGATGAAAAGGCGTCTGAATCATGGCAGAGGAGCCACTATTTGGGACTCTCAAGTCTGAGGAAGCCGGATCACCAAGAGTAGGCTTAAAGAGCTTTAGCAATTATTTTAGTGGCTTAGAGAGTAATGAATAGTTTCAATATGAAGAATTACACAGGGGTTTTGGGGTTTTGGGGTTTTGGGG